CAGAATCAGTTCAGTTCAGTCGCTCAGTCGTGTCCGACTCTTTGTGACCCCATGAACCGCAGCACGCCAGGCCTCCCTGTCCATCACCAACTCCCAGAGTTTACTCAAAACTGATGTCCATTGAGTTGGTGATGCCATCCAGCCATCTCATCCTGTCGTCCCCTTCTCCTCCTGCCCTCAATCTTTCCCAGCATCAGGGTCTTTTGAAATGAAAAGACCCTGAACTTTCAGAATATATGCTTCTAAAAAAGCAGAGGTTTTATTAAAAGAGTGTCACAATTGTATTACTAATCCTCCCTATTCTGTAACTTCATTTTCCATAAAAACTGAAAGTGTTGGAGTCTGAAATATCTCTCTATTGGTAACTAAGTCTGTTGATACTATGGCATTTTGTAACTTTAATTACAAGACTATATAATTTAGAAATATAAAACACTCAGGATTTCATATAAAATAATAATCCATTTCAGCAAATTGAAACATAAAAATCATATTAAGACTATCCCTGAACACGTTACGTATAGTCCTCTTGGCAAGTGCGTTTCTAATAGAATTCTAAAGAACAGCATAATGAGATCAAATTGTTCCCTGGAGAAAATATTTAAGTGACTTTTATATTAATAGCTTTAATATTATTTCCATTTGTCTTAGAAATTATGTAGTAATAGAAAGTCTAAAGAAAATTCAAAAGAATGCCAAGTTCCACAAACTCAATCCCTTCCTTCTGCTAATACTACAATTATATCTACTATTTAATGATAACACACATCATATGGCACTATAATTGTCCTTCTATTCTTGCATTAGACATTGAATCCATTAATGGCGAAACTCACTTATTATTCACCTTTCTATCCACAGAGGTTTTTAAAGCATATCTTCTAAATATTCAAAGTTTGTATTAAATATATGAATGATTAGAACTGACTTATTCATACTAAGCAATATTTATAATTCCATTGCAACTTTATAGATATTTAAAGCATTATTTGTAATTTAAATTATAGGAAGCTACCAAAAAAACTCCACCAATTACCTATAGTAATGTGGAAAATATGACATGAATGAATGATACTAATCAGAACCATTGAAATTAAAAATTTTAATCTCTTTCCCCACCAAAAAGTAGGATATAAGGGACAGATACTGTTTTTCGTTTTTGTTTCTTGGTTCAAGCTACTAATAATCTAACAATAAGGCACCAATAGTCAAGAGGCTACAGGCAAAAGTTAAAAGGGACAGGACCCTACAATTCTCCTGCTGCTGCCGCTTCAGTCATCTCCGACTCTAGGCAACCCCACAGACGGCAGCCCGCCAGGCTCCCCACTCCCTGGGATTCTCCAGGCAAGAGTACTGGAGTGGGTTGCCACTGCCTTCTCCTACAATTCTCCTACAAACAGCTAAACCAAAAGACAGAAAGGACGGTCAATATTATTTTTGTATATACCCTTCTAAACAGTAATACAAGTAAGTCACTTAATATATTCATGGTGTTAAAACAAAAGCAATGCATTGTCAACAAGTGATAACTATTAAAAACAGTATTTGAAAAAAAATTATCAATAAATTTCACAGATTGCAAAACAAAAGCCCTTTCCACTATACTGTCTCACTTCTCAATTCATATCTGTGTTTCTATGAAATGGAATCCTAAGTTAAACTAGATATTACAAAAATAAACTTGAATGGAGAAAGAGTTCATTGAAAATGCTTCTGAATTAAGGTATAATGAAACAAATGGCCAAAAGCATAGGATTATCTAAATTATTAAACTTTATTAACTAGAACACACACACAAACAGCAAATACCATCACTGACTTATACATTATAATTTAAAAATCATAAAAAATCATCAGATTTAGTGATTATTAAATGATATTATATATTGAGCATCCATATAACAGTGGCTGTTTTTATTGTTTTACTTATTCCTTTTCTCATACCTATATACGCCTTTGACTGAACTGCTACTAAGCCCTGAGTGCCTCTTCCCTGGCCTTGGCAGTTTGCTTCTCTGCAACTGCTAGCTCAGGAACCCCTCCCCACTCCCTCCCGTATCCCAGCCAGCCAGTTTTCGCATGTGATCCTGCCAGTTTGATGATGGCACCGTAAGGTTAAAATATAGTCAGTAATATTGTCTGCTTATTTGTGTGTTGTGATCTAGTTAATAAGATTTAATAATTTAGATGGTCCTATGCTTTTGGCCATTTGTTTCATTATACCTGAATTAATTCAGAAGCATTTTCAATGAACATTTTCCTCCATTCAGTTTTATTTTGTAATGTCTAATTTAATTTAGGACTCCATTTCACAGAAGCACAGATATAAAGTGAGAAATGACACGGTATAGTAGAAGGGCTTTGGTTTTGCAATCTGTAAAATTTATTGATAATTCTTTTTTTCAAATACTAATTTTCACTAAACTTGATGACCGGGGCTTCCCAGGTAGCACCAGTGGTAAAGAACCTGCCTGCCAATGCAGGAGATGTAAGAGATGCAGGTTCCATCTCTGGGTGGGGAAGATCCCCTGGAGAAGGGCATGGCAACCCACTCCAGTATTCTTGCCTGGAGAATCTTATGGACAGAGGAGCCTGGCAGGCTACAGCCCATGGGTTCACACAGAGTCAGACACAACTGAAGCGACGCAGCACACACAAACCTGATGATAAAGACTGACCTTCCTTAAGGCCACAGAGTAAATATGTGGCACAACTGGTATTCTTAACCAGTTCTCAAATTCTAGAAAACCTAGCTTTTAGCCCTATGCTATATCAACAATATGCAAAATAAATCTGAAGAATGAGAGGAGATAGACAGAAGTAGATACAGAAGTAGACTAGTGATCCAGAGCCACCTAAAAGCTGGGGGCCAGGGAACAAAAAATAACAGAAGCAAGGAATTGATGCCTGTGCCAAACTAGTTATGAAATATTTTGAATATCACTCTTACATCTCCTGCATTGGCAGGCAGGTTCTTTACCACTAGCGCCATCTGGGTAGTCCAAACATCACTCCCAGGTACAATCAAAACTCTCCTGTAGTATAAGAGAGCATTTTCTTTCCCCCAAATATAATATCCTCTGACTAGGTTCTTCCTAGTCTGAAAGTAAGATTTGGCTCAATGAAATATTTTCCTTTTCTGAAGCTGTTTTTTCTCAATTTTTCATTTAAGAATTAATGTCTAATGGTAGCTACAATGGGCTTTATAAATGATGTTCCACATATCACATAAATTATCACTTTATCTCTGACAGAAGCTTTCTAGATAGAGCACAACTGAAAATTAAGTTAAATAAATGTATTTGGGGGGGGCAGAAATTCTAACTAATAAGTATCTTCAATAAGTCCAAAAATGATATTTTCAACACTTTCTATATACACAGATAATTTGAGAGCTTGCCTAATCCATTGCCCAAATTCCAGGGAGATAAAACCTCTTATCAAGAGTTTAAATTTAGAAAAAGCAGCTTAGCAATTTGAAAAATTTATGGTGATTTCATCATAAGTTGCTATCTACAAAGATAAGTGAAATGACAATACACACTTTTCTAGACGGTCATGCAAAAGAAAAAGAATTTTCCTTCATAAAGACAGATTGGAATTTCAAAGCAGATATGCCTCAGTGATGTTTTAAACTCAAGAGGGGTTGGTTATTCCAGGTAGAAAGGAAACTAGTTGAATTGAGAAAGGCTTTATTCCTCTTTAATTCAATCCTACTCCAAAAGCATTGCATTAATTTATAGAAAAACAATTTTTTAAACTTCATGTAGTTTAATACTATAATTTCAAACTGTTGTAACCAAAAGTGTACTTGAAAAATTAAAATATGCATGACATAGTTGGATCTTTTAAAAAATAAATCTAATAAATTTATTAGATTAATTTAGATTAATAAATTTAGATTAATAAATCTAATAAAAAATATCAAAAATAATTTGATATTATTCTAATATCAAAAAAAAATCAATAAAGTATCTCTTCCATATATACATATATGTGATATAGTACTACAATTTTAAATTAATTTAAAATTAATGCACAAAGCAATTAAAGTCCTAACCTCTGTGACACTAAAATTTAATAAAGTACAAGGCTAATGAAAATATATTACATCAGAATTGATCATTCATTTTCTATTAAATGGTATATTATTATTTTTTAATCTCATTACTTATCCAAACCACAGCAATGATTAACAAAAAAAACAGCAACACATGGACCAATAATGGCAAATAAAAATGTTCAGTTTCATTCCCGGAAATAGTATAGTTTATTAAAATATATACCACAGTAATTATAGCAACAAGCAAATGAATAAACAGGAAACAAAAATTTGACCAATCACCCTCCTGCTTAACTCTAAAATTTAATGAATCAGCTAAGAATGGGTAGTAGCCCAGAAATCACTCAACATAAAATGGAATATAATTTAAATTACCAAATAAGCTTTCAAAGAAAAGCGTCTGCATTTGGTGACAGAATAAAAATCTCAATTTTGAGAAGAAAATGATTAGCTATTTGCACAATTACAACTGATTAAAGCTGTAACACCATAATTTCGTTACTTCAAATATATGAGTGCCATGAAATTTTACTTGCCATAAGGAAGCTTAGAACAGAGTCACATGGTTAGAGGCATTTGAAAATGAAATAAAGATTAATGACAGCCATGCATAAAGCAATTAATTGAAAGAGTCTAAGTAACAGCTCTGAAAATGTAAGAAAGCACAGAAATGCTCAAAGAAAGAGATTCTGCTTTAACTACTGAAATAAGCAGGAGGTTCAAGGACACAGATTACCCTGAGGATGGATTTTTTTTTTAAGTTATTTAAGACATCAACAGATCTGGATAAAGCAGAAAGGCAAACTTAAGAAAGTCACAACTAAATGGCATTGACTTATTTCAGTCAAAAGAACATCTCCAAAACCTGTGAAGAAATAACTTATATAATAGCTGAGTTCTTTAACATACTGCCAGCCTACATAAATTAAGTACTTGCCCCTTCAGACTTTTCCACAGTGTTAGCCAGCATCTCCTGCAAGGCCCGGACAGACAGGGACTGCTCCAGCACGAAGGTGCAGATGGAGAGGTCTGGAGGAACATTCTGTGCGGAGAGAGAAAGCCACCATCACCATCACCATCACCATCACCATCACCTTCACCTTCAATCATCCAGACCCAGACTTACCTTATGATACTTCAGCTTCGTGCTCAGGAAGAAAGAATACTTGTCAGTTCTCTGACATGAGCTCCCAAATCATCCAAATATACTCTCTGTACCACCCACACTTAAACCGTGTTTTAACTAGTGGATAACTATAAGTGCCTACTCTGATTAGGCACTGCACTCAAAGCTTTATCAATAACACTTGTCATCTACGATAATGTGACTGTGTGGATAAGAAACTAGAGAAGTTACGTTACTTTTCCAAGTCACAATTACTAGATTTTTCAAACTGGGACCAAACAGCCAGACTTCTCTGACGCTCAAGCATTCATTTCTAATTTGCCAAGCAGTTCACTGATAAAAACTAGAAGGACAGAAAAACACTTCACTCCGTAGTGAAGTTAAGAAAACATAAAATTGAATTGGTATAAAATATTCATTTACACAGACTTGTTCTTATTCACAAAGATAACAATTACCCTGTCTTACTGAAGTTGGATATCATATCTAGCTTCTAACTTTGTATGCAACAGTTTGACTTTTATTTGGTGTGTATGTATTGCTTTATTTGGTCAATCACCCTTTTTTTCTATTTCCTTCCATAAACTTCCACTTCAATCAAGTAATAACACCATAAATTCTGAAAAGGAGACAAAACAACACAGGGTGGGAAGTGACTGCCAAGTTAGACAGTACTATCCCAATCAGGAATAAATGTGTTATCATCCATGTATGCTTCTGTTTTAGATAAGCAGGATCCAATAGGCAATGCAGTTGTTCAATTCAGATGTTCAACCTAGCATTTTCTTAACAGAAGAACATTATAAATACATTAAACACAAAACAAAAGCAAGAATATGTCTTCCTAAAAAGAATATTATGAGGATAAATTGATAACCTAATTCAGTGCCTCAAAATTACAATTTACAGTGTTGAAGCATTTATTAAATTGAACCACTACCAATAAAAATATCCTTATCAGCAGAGAACGATGTTTTAAGGTTTCAAGGAAAGATTAAGTACCAGAGTTCTAGGAGTTTAAATTATTTTATGGAAAAAAGAAACATAATTACTAGGTTTACTCATACCCCACAAGCCTTGTTGGCATCCATGTTTTGCTTTTGAATGAACTTTTCTGAATTCCTCTATCCCTTTATCACATGTTTCTGTGCACCTCCCTTGCAGCCCAACTTCCTTTCATTTCTCCTCAGACTGTCTCGGCTGGTAGTCAAAAGAATCTCTCAAATCTGGGTGCAGCCACTGCTTTAATACTCCACAGTAATTGAAAGAAGTTTTCCTCACTGAGGTATGGGGAAGTCATTCTGGTTTATACAACATTTGGCTTGAACTTTATTTTAACCAGAACAGCTTGTCTTCTGGTCTATCAAACAGGCATTGTACATCTGCTTTAACCATTTTTAAAAATTGCATTTACCAGACTGCTTAGATAAGGATAAACGTCCATTTTGAAGACAGAGATAATGTCCCCACTTCTCCATTCCTAACGCTAGTACTCCTTCAGTGATGAGCTTTGTGGCCCAGACACCAAGGTTCATGCTGACTTGTTGTGTTTGTGCTAATCATTCTCTTAAGAAACCTAGAAGGGTTGTATCCCCTGTCATATTTGGTGTTTGTCTTTTGCTCAGACAAGACATAAAACTGTGGTTCAGCATTCAAAATGGGGCTAGTTGGCCACTGTGGATGTGGTTTTAGACACATTCCCGTATTACTGAGAACCTGAATTCTCTGAACCGTATCAGATTCAGGATGCCACCAGTCGTGGTCAAAACAAGATCTATTGGTAGCTGCCAGCTGCACCTTTACGGTCTCATGGTCTCCTCTTCTAACTATTCAACCATTCCAGACCTTGACCAATCCTGGGTTAACATGCATCCTTACTCTTTGCCAGTCCAATTATAACTGACAAACAACTCATGCAATTTTGCAGGTTTTGCCTATATAAGCCTCCCCTACTTTGTAGTCTAGCAGAAGACAGTTCAGATGCTTCTTGAATCTATGGCTTCCAACCTATAGTCCTCAGTGTAACTCAACTAAAACTCTTATCTACCTCTGTCATGGACCGTTTGCTGATTATTTCCATTGACAGCAGTCAGCGAGACAAGGGTTTTCTTTCCAAAAATCCTCAGATGAAAGACTGGAAGCTAGGAAACAGACTCTTTTCCACACTGAAATTTAGGATAAGGTCTTTTAAATTTAATATTCTCAGTTCTAACTATATTAACAACAATTTATCACACTGAAGCAAATGCTACTGGAAAAAAAACTGATTATTTATTCCATTCATATCCACTTAAACTCTGAGAGTTTGGAAGCTACACTTTGACAAATAGCACTGATAGAGAACTATGTTAAGAAATGGTGTGCTGGTGAACTAATGTGTCAAAAAAAAAACACAAAAAAAGGTCTAGATTTGCCCACTTCTGTGGTGTAAATACTCCAATGATGGCTGATTTCGAAGTATCAAAGTTTACTAATCAGCTCACAAACTTGCTAAATATGTAATAATCAGCTCTCGGAAATCTGCAAAAGCCATTGCCAACATACCACTGAACTGATTTCAGACACATGAGTTGCTTTAGAATCAGTATATTATTAAAAAAAAAAAGAATCAGTATATTATAATAGTCAAAAGACTGGATTCTATAAACAGACAACTAAAGCTAAAATCTAGGCCTTACTACTTAGGAGCTCTTAACTTTTATAACCTTTAATTTCCTTCCCTGAGAAATTGGATAGTAATTATATCATCCTCATAGGGATGCTGTGAAAAAATAAATGAGATAATCTAAGTAAAAAGCTTATCGTAGAGTCAACACCATAACAAGAACACAAAATAAGTGAGCTACTGCCATTAGCTTTGCATATCATCATTTCTCCCCATTTATGAAGCACCACTCATTTCTTAAAATCAGCTCTTAAGCGAATTTTACTTTAGAGAAATAGTGTTTGAAAACACAAAGTATTAACTATGCACCTGTTCATAACACCTAAAGTGTTCCAGTATTTTCAAGAAAAGGCACTTTCTGGTCATATTGAAAAGTTTACTTCTTGGGTATATTTAAATTGTTTCCTGTTTCACTTTAATCAAAATGTTAAAGTATGAATCACTGAAATATCTTAAATTTATTTTAAAGATACTTGAAAATCACATGAATTTGAAATGAAATAATCCTGCCAACCAAATTCATATTTTTAGACTGGCATGCTCATAACAGATAGCGAGAGTTAACAGGAATAAATGGACAGACAATCAGCAAAGGAAGTTCTTTCTCACAAACTCTAGCCTTTTCTTGCTTTGGAGCCATCTATCTCTCTCTCTCTCTCTGCCTCCCCCCACAACTCCCCATCAAAACACACAACTGTAACAGAAAGGCTGAGCAGTGTAGAAACAAAAAATGTTTACCCCTTACAGGAAAATTTTGAACAACACAAATCAGAGCTTTGCACTGTTATCTGTTTCTTTTGCTCTGAAGAAAAATGGTCTGGTTGCTTTAGGCAAAGGAATCATTACCAAAACTTGTATACTTTTTAAAGTAAACTACTAAAAATATTCCTTCATTTAGATGTGTATATTTCTTCAAATAACCCTGAGGTTTTTAAATCATACTGTAACATTTATATTAAGACCTTTTCCCACTTCCCCAAAATGAAGTTGTCAGAGGAAAATAAATGGTCTCACCCATGAATTAAAGACCAACTATACGGCCCCAAATCAAAATGACTCCTAACATCAAGCACAAGAGATAAAGTATAACAGTCAATGTATCTGTACTGGAAATGTCAATTCACAAGCATTTGCAAGTCACCATCTTTTCCTTAGTTTTTTTTCTTTTTTTTACTCATGTCTAATTACTGAGAAGATTAATTTTTAGAACTTCAATTTTAAAGAACTTTACTTACCCTTTCAATGAGTATGCTCCCAAATCATAAAAGAAATCCTTATGCAACATATGCTTTACCTTCTAGGTGCTTCAAAACAGACCACATGGGAACATGAAATAGAAATAACACTCCATCTGTACACCTACCTGCCTCTTAAGCATTACATTTATTTGTCATACAAAATTAAACCAGAGGAAAGTATATACTTCAGTCTGTCCTAACGTCTATCCAGGCTGCCCAGAACCCACAGTAGGCAGACAGTAGGTTCATAATGCTTTTCATCTAGAGACAAGATCAATTTAATCAGGATAGGTGTTCTTTGCCAAAAGTAACAAACTAAACCAAGCAGCATGGCTGTATAACTTTTATTCTTTTTTAAACACAAACTGGTCCCCATTCTCTTCCGCCTGACAAATATTACCTGATCTTAGGGGAGAGAAACAATTTCCAAGAATAACCACAACAGCGCATCTGGCTTTGCTGGCACTGGAGAGTGAATGTAAAATCAATTAGGTTTTCAACTGAGGTACCCATCAAACCACTTGGCAGCCATGGATGTATCTGCCTAACTCACTCACAAGCCTATTGAAACATGACGCTGCCTTGACTTAACTGTAACCAATAATTTGGGACTAAATAAGCCACTGTAGGGGGCTTCCCAGGTAGCTCAGCAAGTAAAGAATCTGCCTGCAATGCAGCAGACACAGGAAACACAGGTTCCATCCCTGGGTCAGGAAGATCTCCTGGAGAAGAGAATGGCAACCCACTCCAGTATTCTTGCCTGGAGAACCCCATGGTCAAAGCAGCCTGGTGGGCTACAGTTCACAGAGTCTCAGAGAGTCGGACATGACCAAAGCAACTGAGCACTGGCCACTACAGACCTCTTTTGTTATCACCATGTACAAACTGCATAGTAACAAACCACTCCATTTGAAGACCTTGATTCCTTTGCTTATATTTTCTTCCTTAGTGGGAAATATCCAACTCCAGGTCTCCATCAGTGGAAAACAATAAAATCAAATATAAAAGCATTT